GGGACGCAAGGGTCTGAGGAAATACATAGACAGGGGATATGGATGTAACATTGGCGGTGATGCCGCTGAGTTTCGTTGCAGTGTCTATTACCATCTGGCGTTTCGCATCGGCCAAGAGGTAAAAGTGCATGAAAAAGTCAATGCCGATGGTGGTAAATGGGACTACAGCTACAGTGAATACCCAGAGGAACGTGCGCCGAATACCTAGGTCCACGGTAAGTGACCGATGACCACAGGTGGCCATTGGCATGCCATTGGCGGCACTGAGACTTGTCAAAAGAGAGGTGACAGGCTCACCTGGCATAGGGGGAATGACGCTGACTTCCACCCCGGTATCAACTAAGAACTGGGTATGGTAGTCATAATCCCTAAGGTAGACGAGGCGACTTTAAGCTTTGCCAACCTTCCTGGCCAGTACAGCCTGGCGTGGCGGATCATCTATAGCAGAGTAACTACAAGGCTGTACGCACTTACAGGCTGCAGTACCGAAACGCGCGTGGTAAAAGCAGTAACCTGAGGCATTAGGTTTTGTGCGACAGTGCCATTATCCAGACCGGCTGCGGTGCATGCGTTTTAAGGTGAGTTCCTCGACCTTGCGCTGAATTGACGCTATCTGAAATGATAATGCGTCTATTGCTGACGCTGGGCTAGTCGCGCCTGTCGTTCTGGTTGCACCAGCGCTAAGCTGCTTGGGTGCTTTGGTTTCAGTCTCTGGTTGGTGCAGTTCGATGACGCGGTCTGTTAGATCTGCAATTGCCGTGATTGGCAAGTCAATTGCTACTGCAAGGATAGCCTGAGTGCTTGCAGAAGGGCGTGATTGGCTGAATAATAGCCTGTTTAAGTGTCTCGTATTTCATTACTAGAGGAAACAAAGTAGGATGTCTCTCACCTGCGAAGATATATTCTGGGGAAGGCAAGATATTAGTTCGTTATACATTGCGAAATCAATAGAAATCTTCCGAATATAAAATACGGATTTTAAGTGCAGGAACCATAATGAAGGATCATTCTCCCAAAAACAAGGAGGGGCAACGCAACCGAATTGACCCTGGCAGGCTGAACGACGTTAACCGCGAATGGAGACGGCTTATCCTATAGACTATCCATTGCAAAAAAACAAATAAAAATGTGGTAGGTGCGAAAGCAAAATGATCACAAGTAATGAATCACAAATCACTGGAACAAGCTCACCAGAATGAAAATTGGCGGACGGCGTGTTCCTAAACAGGGGTCACCAATTGTTGGGCGGAGCCTGGGATACTAGTCGGTAAGCAATGACACGCAAGGCGTGTCAAATACGGCAGTATAGAAGTCGGAGGCAACTGAACCCAACGTATATTGTGCAGG